GTCATACTAGGAGGATTAGCTCAAAAATGCTAAGTCTTACCTACTCTGGATTAAGGGACGGATTAACTACAAAAGTTAAGTCCTACCTATATTTTGTGTCAGATCAATAAATAATTGAGTGGCACTTTGGTTTGGAATGAAATTTAAATATATTTTTATGGTGCCACGATATGAGCCTGAGTCTCAGAGTTGTTGGTTAGGGAACGTATATGCATTGGGATGCATAGCTGGCTATGATGGTTGGATGTGTACCCTGCTAGGACTAGGTAGTTATGCCACCTTTGGGTGCGTTTTCGCATGGTGCCTACTAGTCAGGTTGAGACGGGCCTGTAGTCCAGTGAGAGTCCTGTAGTGTGATTATATATATATTTATCTACGGACTATTAGCTATTGTTGGATTGGTTAGGATGTACATGCGTAGCGGGTCTCTGCTTGGGTAGTATTGGTATAGATTTTGCATGTGGGCCTGACCCACTCATCATTTTTCAGGTATCGGACATTTCCAGTCTAGAGCTTGTTCGTGCTGAGCAGAGACGATCTTCCATTCTACCGACAACGTAGGATTTCTTTCCAGATATTAGATTTGGATTTTATCTTCAGTTTTACTTTCATTTAGTTTGGGATTTTTATTAGGGGTCCACTAGAGATGAATTCCCGAGTTGTTAAACTTATGGAGTTTTGGATTATGGAATTTTAAGTATTTAATTATAAAGGATTTTATTTCTAGTTCCTTTCAGCTTTTATTTATTTCTTCTTATTTCATTGGAGTAATCTGTGTTCGTTATAACATATTAATTGTTTGATATCCCTCGGGTTTGGGCCTAGGCCTGATCAACCCGTGTCTCGGATCCGAGGGGTATCACACATAAGACGATAACATGGAGTAAAATAAGGCTTTAGACTGGCCTGCCCCCCAAAAAAATTGAGTAATAAAGGAGTCTTATCATCACAGTATCACATTGTTATAGCCTAGAGCAGCTTGGTTGTTTTAGTATTATGCAAAAACTATAAAGTAATTTCTAACCTGAATGTCAACAGGAAATTTCACAACTGTATCTGATAGAGCAGCATGGAGCATATCAAATGGCTGTCCTTGAAAAAGATCTAGCTTCCAGCCTTGACTCCCACCTATCCAAAGCTTTAGGTGTTATATGTGATGCATTAGGCCCATCAACAAGCTCGTCTGTCCTCCTACACCACACTGTATAACCAAAGAAAATCATAAGAAATAGAAGAAAAGACATTTATTTTTCTACATCAAATCCACACTGTAAACACCATTATGACAATTGCAATACTGTATATTTTTCCTTTTTTCTTTTTTCAAGTAGAAGAAAAAGAAAGCTAAAGGCAATAAAATGCATGTCCTAAATTTTATATCAATATGTCGTAAGAAGCACAATGGTTAATAACACATCCTATAAGATGGATAACTACGTATTACAATACCCTATTTATGTCTTAAATGGATTTAATGGTAGAGGTTTTGGTAGTCATTACAGGAATCAGGAAAACAAATCAAACTACAATTAAAATTTCAGATTATTTCTTGTTATCGCAAGTTGAATGGAATATTAATTTTCCGAAAATCAAAGATTCTTGAAACGGGTAGAGCGGTTAGAGAATCATATGCTTGAAATTAGTCAAATTTAACTCACTAAAAAAACAGTGTATAATGAATTTGATATAGGGAGTGTTTTATAAATAGTACTGACAAGAAAACTCTGGTTCACCGTTAAAATTAAAAAGCAGACTCTTCTTGTGTGATTTCTTGTGTGATTGCATATGAAAACAGTCATCAAAATTTTGAATACGGGAGGCTAGAATTTCATTTCAAATACCCACTAAAGCCTCTACTTAACACTCATTATTTCCGAATAAACATGTAAAAAGGGTAAATTACACTCACACCACTGAAATTTGACCTAATTACACCGTGGTCGAAATATGGCCTAATTACATTGATCTCTTTGTTGACATCAAGTAGCTAAAGGAGGTTTAAAATGTAGTAAAATGCCACTGAGCTCCTTATTGCTGTATTTGCATGTATATATTCATTTACACAGAGAAGTTCATTTAAAAGAGAGAGACAAGTGAATTTCAAAAAGGACAGCTATGTCTCTCTCACTTTCCCTTCTCTATATATATAACTAGAATATTTTATGGGAAAGGAGAAGGGCAAATTTGTCAAGAGAATTGGGTATCATTGTAATTATTTAAATTTCGAAAGTCTATTAAAGTCTTTCTATCAATGAGAAGGGCAAACCTGCATTTAATCTTCAGGATAATTATTCGGTAATCCTGTAAACAAGAACTGGTCTTATACTAGCTTTGAGTATCTGATAAATGCTATTTCAACATTAAATTAATGTATCAACATTAAACAAAAACATCTTATAGGATAAAACTATCCCCTATTTCAGTCATTTTCTCCCTTTTTTGGTCAAAAAGTGAGAAAGACCAACAATATAAGCTCAAGAAGGAGGTGGAACAACCCAAGAAGGTCTCTAAGGGTTGAAAATCTTTGAGGAATAAAAGGTTTGGTCATTATATCTATAATTTGGTGCTCAATGGACATATAAGTGATATCAATAAGGCATTTTTGAACCTTGTCTCTGAGGAAATGATACTTGATTTCAATGTACTTGCTTCTACAGTGGAGAATTGGATTATTGCTAATGGCAATGGCACTTTGATTGATACAGTAAAGCTTTGGAGGGCCCAATAATTAAAGTCCTAGATCTGAAAGTGTTGAGATAGCGGTGGCAATGATGGCGGTGGTGATGGTGGTGGCGGAAGGTGATAGTGGAGGTGGCGGTGGCGGTGGTGGTGGCGGAAGGTGATAGTGGAGGTGGCGGCGGCAATGGCAGCGGTGGTGGTGGTGGTGGAAGGTCTAGCAGTGACTGAAGGTGGCGGTGGTGGAACAAATGACTAAGAAATAATATAGGATAATCTTGTCAATTTATGAAAAATACATACGCAAATTAGTAAAATAATTCAAAAGCAATATTTTCTTATTTCTTTGAAATGGACTTTTTGACCATTGGCTTTTCGAGATTTTTTTTTTTACACATGTATAGCCAAACATCATGAATCTTTTTAGAAAGGACTTTTTAAGGCTCTAGGAAACTCCCAAACAAGACCTTAATTAATAGCTCAGGTCCAACCAAGATTTGAAACATTGCACCCAATAATAACATTTATCAACGCATCAATTATGGTCATCAAACAACACGGAAGAAAATTAATATACATATCATGAACTGAATATTTTTTTTTTTTGTGGAATTTTAAGCAAAATGTTATAAATAAATGGATAATTACAAGAGGTGGGCCTTTTGGCCAATACAACCCAAAAAGATGGTAACGAGCCTAAATGGAGGCCCAACTGAATACTTGTATACCATATACATATGACTTAACAATAAAGTATCAGCTGTATAATTTGACAAATTCGTGTGGGTTTGCAAAATTTCAAGGTCGCCTGTTCAAATTTAAAGAAGTATTTCATCATTTGTTTCTGACTTTTTTTTTTTTTTTTTTTAATTTTTTACGAGAGAAGAGTTCTAGTCATCAAAAGAGTTGTAAGATAAAAGGAAAGAAGGTGAATTAACGATTAAAAAATAATAATAATAAAATGAGGAAAGAGATAGCATATTTTCAGAACATTAATAATAATAAAAAAAATCAGAACATTATACCAACACACAATATATATATATATATATAATCACATATTTTATAACCGAAATTGATTTACAAAGATTGCTTTTTCGGGACAAAAAATTGACTAAAATAATGCATAAGAAGTAAAAAAAATAAAATAAGAACGGAATGAGAAGGATTGCCTATGCAACTAATTGAGATAGTTTGATTATTTGCCTTTGGCGCTAATTTTTTATTTTTTTTAAAAAAATCAAAATATTATACAAAAATTAAAATAAAATAAAATAAAAATTCAGAACATCATAAAATAGTATGAAATCTAATAATACAGTACCAAAAGAAGAAAGTGTCAGACTTTGCTTCAATAAAACTGAAAAATAATCTTTAACGTTTAATTGAATAAGGTGTCAAACTTAAGAGGGATAAATAAATTTAGAAAATAACTTTAAACAAATATTTGTAAGAGAAAATTCATAAAACAAATTTCACAATAACTAAAAGGTATTTTCACTATAAAAAGTTTAATAAAAATCAAAAGTTGGAGAAGAAGGTGTTGCACCAGCCAAGAAAAAGGATCTTCCCCTCCGCTTTGCTTTTCTTCGGCCCTTTCATGATAATTCTCTAATCATAATAATTCTATTATTATATGAACTATTGAGGAATTAGAAAAAGGATCGTAAATTAATAAATACATAAGACAAATTAGATTTAAATGATTTAGTTGTTGATCCGTATCATAATACTAATATGATTTCCCCTAATAAAAATGGAAATTCGTTATTTTATTTTAGTTGAACTTTACTTATAAGTATTTTGGGCTTTTGTTTTAGTTGGACTTTATTTATTGGTATTTTATTTTAATTATCTTATTTATAAAATAATGATTTCAAACACCCTAATCCTACTTATTGGTAGTTTATTTAAAACATCCTAAGTTCCTAAATCGTCTTGTACCTTTATATATAGATAGATAAATAGATACAGTGCGCAAAAAGAAGCGGGTGTGATAATCAAATTACACATATGATTGAATTCCAAAGGTCACAGGGGTAAAAGACTATCATACAAATGGTAAGCCTGAAACAATGGCAAGTGTGCTGACGGGTTGTCAGACCAGTAAGGAAGTAACTGTGGTAATTTTGTGAGCGGATGTGTTTTAAGCACCGGTAAGTTATTATACTGGACGAGTGTTGTAGGGTTAGTGTCGTCACGTGTCACTAGATTTCTGTTCAGAATTTACCGTCACAGTTATTAGTGCACAATTCCGTAACTTTAGCAAGGAGGTGAGTGATTTTTTTCCTGATATATTATATATATAGTATCTAACCCTAAAGTATACACTTTTTCATTCGGAAGGGTAAACACAAGGAGGCTATTGTCCTCAGCCGCCGTAGATCCTCCCCTTGGCCAACTCCTTCGATCTGAAGCTTTTCCACTCATTCCTTCCATCTCTGCAATCATAATCCCATTTCGACAAGCATAGACTGCGAGACACAGGTTCTTACTTTCTCTCTCTAGATTTTATATGTCATGTATTACTGCTATCAAAATCTGTCTTCAATCTCATGTTTAAATTTTCACCGGTTAGTCCTAACCGTGTTACTCTTAGTATTTTTCTTTTCCATCTAATTTTAAAGTATTAATTAATTATTATTTTTTTTTCGATCATTAAGACGCAAGGAATAATATGTATCGGGTACTCTTTCTAAGAATTGCATGTTTAAATTTTTTATTTCGTTTTTAAGATCAACTACTTATACCTGATCATTAGATTATATATAAACCATTAGAATTTGTTCGTTCTCCTCGGCCTTTTTTTATTTATTATTATTTTAATTCTTCCGTAAGATTTCCAATTTTTGGCTAGCGTAAATTGTGGATCGAGCTTATCAATTTTTATTATATGTGGTGTATTTATTTTCTTGTATATAATTTTCTTTATTTTGGAATTTTGTTGATTCCCATCGAGATAAGGAGTCTCGGAAATTGGGCTATTTTGTTGATTCCCATCCAGATAAGGAGTCTCAGAAATTGGGCTATTTAAAGTGAAATGGGGAAGGAATTCATCCGTTTTATTTTCCTTTCCATTCATTCGGATCTCTTCCGTTTCATAGTGTCAGGGTCCTTGAAGGAGAAGATATTGGAGGTGCAAAGGTTACTTACATCATCTCCATTATTATCACGTCACCATCTCTATTTTTTAATGGAAATGATGTATCAGCTAAGGACATATTGGTGGTTCAGCAGAGTTGATCTTAATCTTGATCCTCCACTGTCTAATTCGTTTGGCCTATTGGTACGAGTTTACAGAAAAGAGTTCAAGTTGTTCAACGATGTCTTTGTTTTAAAAAAAAAGTGCTTGAATTGAGAAAAACAAAACACCCAATTTCGACTATTGTGTTGTTGTCTGATGACGAAGTATACTCATGCTTCTCTCAATTCCTCTCTACTGTCGGAATCACCCTTCGATCGTGAGTCGTGACCATATATTTCATAAAATTCTCTCTGGTTGTCATGCCGCCATAACTACTAGCGAACCCTTCTCTAAATCCCACCACTCCACGGAGGTAATCACCAGCAATCGTGACCAGCTCTTTGACACACCTGACCATTTATTTAGTAGCATTCTCTCTGGTGACATAACTATTGACAACACTTGTTCTAGCACCACTAGCACGCCCTTTTTTTTCAACAGACACGTTGGTTTCGTATGGGGATGGGGATGGGGATGGTAAAACAGGGTTACATGGATCGCATGCCATGTGATCCTTCTACTACGAAGGTTGCATTGTTCATTGACTAGAGTTTCAAGATAATGATTGGAATTAGAATTGGTTTTTTTATTTTTTTTTTCCTTTCTTTTTTTCTCTCCATGTAATGGCACTATTTTTATTTTATTTTATTTTTTCTAGTGAATGTAATGTCATTTTTTATAACACATATAAATCATTTTGTTTTGATCAATTAATGCAATATTTTATTAATTTTTTGTTCTTGATTTACTATTATGTAGTACAGTTTTGGTTCATTCTTAATGTATTCAGTAAAGAAACAATTTTTTTTATTTTTTATTAATTACTCAAATAGGATTTTCTATTCCTTAATCAGTTGATTTTAGTTGATATATTTTGATTTAGCCCACCTCATTGAGAAATTCTGGATGTTTTGTTTCACATAGAAATACAATCTGACGAAGGATATATTCAATATTTCTGCCATATTTTTGTGTTCAAACTTTAGTTTTTGATTTTCTTTTGTTATTAGAATGCAGAATATGATGATATTGATTTGTTAATTTTGAAGATTATTCTTAAACTGATGCATTGTAATTTGTTATTGGATTAGTATAATATGCGCTAATCACACCTCTTTCTACAAATAGTTGTCCAACATTTTGACTGAAAGCATAGTTAGAGTTGGATTGATACATGATACAGATAGTACTTAGATGGTGGTGTTTTAATTGTTTTGAGGGAGATTGTGAAACCTCTTCCTCACAACTTGTGTTTTCTTATTTTTAGGTTAGTATCGGGCCTTAACATTTAGCAAGAACAAGGTTCAAGAAACATGCTTCCTCAGTCATCAGGTAACAAACTCTTTACTTTTTCTAAAATTTTAATTGGCATATTTAGCTATTGGTTACATTTATTTATTCATGTTTTACATACTGATTTTTTGTTTTTGTTTTTGTTTTTGGTTCTACATACATATATATAATATTGTTATGATGTGATGCTCGAACAATTTATTAATGGGAATTAAAGACTTGGAAGTTTAGTTTTCAATTTCAGAATATATGTTTTACAAGTTTATTAACGCTTTTAAAACTTTTCCTCTTTTGTTCTAATAATATAGGTCTCTTTTCTGAAAGAAGAGAGTTGATTGGCATGGGAGGAATAGGAAAAAAGGAAATAGGTATGTTTTTTTTTTTGCCTAGCTAATTGAATTATATAAATCCCAATACCGTTGTAGCAGTGACGTTGGTTTTAAAATGACCAATTATGATAGGAAGTCTCTTTTCAGTTTATCTTAATCACCTGTATATCTATGCAAGAGGATTACGTGATTCTAGATGACAATTCTAGACGAGGATGTTAATGTCAACGTTATAAGGATGTTGATGTCAACGTTGACTCTAGTGATGACGACTGATGATGTTGATAATATGTTGATGCACTCAAATTAAGTCAAGGCACATAGAATTGAAGGAAATTTAGAGTTGAAGACATACGATTGAGCATAGTGTCTAATTCTTTTAGTTACAAGAATCTTTGGTCACTACACACACGATTTTTCAATTCATGAAATTCTAGAACAATGGTGTGTGATATGATTTATCTACTTGGGCTCTTTCCTTTTCCATCTCTCTAAACCCTAATTTTATCTGTGAAAAAGAAAAAGAAAAAGAAGACTATGCAATTTTAATTTAACTTTATTAGTTTGAGCATTGACAGAGCTTCTTAAATGTTGAAATTGAAACATCAAAGAAGAGAGAGTCCACCAATAATAATTACCCAACTTAGGACAAAATAAGCTCTTTGAGCGTCTTGACTAATATTGGTATGGGCGACTTCTATGGATATGTACTTGTAGAGAGAAAGATATATGGTTGGGGGCACAAAAGTATTTAGGGCGAATTGCAAATTTAAAACTCCCCTCAACTATTAAGCCAATTGCGAAAAATCCCCTTATGAATATTTTTGGCAAAAAAATCCCCTCAACTATTGATTTTAACTGATATCCGTTTAAGTGTTTGTCAGGAAATTACCCCTTTAACAGATTACAGTATTCTTTAGACAATTTATTATTTCTTTTCTCTCTCTCTGTCAAGCCTTCTCATTTGATGCACATGAATCAAGGTATGTAAAGCAACAACAGAAAAATTTCCAAAAAAAAAAAAATTGAAAAGCCAGATAAAATCATATTTAAAATTGAGTATAGTCACACAGGAGAGAGAAAATCCACCGCGGCCTTGGAAAAGAAGATCGAAAAAGCAGCTCTAGAACTCCTTCAGTCTACTTGATCTTTAACAGCCATTATAAACGTGCAAGTAAATGTGTGATTGATTTCTAGTATCAAACTCTTATTTTCATATATTTCAAGACACTCTGATTGATCTTCTCAGCAAGGAGGCCGGGATAAACAATAGCAATTTTAAATATGATTTTTTTTCTTTTAATTCAAAATTCTCATTAGTGAAACCTTGTTGCTCCTGGAGAAAGGAAACGAAGGAGATGGTTTCATGCTTTAGATACTTCCAATCACACCAATAAGCAACTTATTAGCAGAATCAACACAATCAGCCAACTAAATTTAAGATCGCTTTGTCAAACATGCGAGAACATCTATTCCAAACTGAGTATATAGAAAGGAAATTCTTACAAACTCAAAGTCCAAGAATGGTAGCCAAATTCACTTTAAACAAGTGCATAAAAACAACCATAATTGCATTTAAAGATTTTCTGATCCTACCCCATGCTAGAAGAGCTGGATGCCCACAAGTTGTATTGATTACTCTGTCATAACTGGCTTATTCTCATTGGCCTTGGGCCTCTGTTCCTTTGGTTTCTGCTCTTCAGACTTCCTGGATTTCCCCAAAAAAAAAAAACCACAATAAAATGTCACAAACACTTCTAAAAAAATTACAGAAATAAGAAGAGATTATATCATATAGAGCAGTAGAGCCATCTGAAAATTTATGGTACTTATCCCAGCCCTAACAAGATGCAATGTATTTGATTCAAGCTGGGGGAAAAATCATCCCTTGCATGCTTTGAAAATAGAAGCTCCTAGCATTCAATCACAAAATCCTGCTGGAGATCCATTGAACAAGATAGAGTACCTAGAAGAGTGAAAAATAGCAATCAAACCAATCCATCTATCCCCAAAACCAAACTTCTTTAAGGCTGTAATCAATCCATCCCAGGAAACAGAATCATAAGCTTTCCTTATGTCAATCTTCAATGCCATAGCAGGGTTCCTAGGCTTGTTGAAATCCCTTACCAATTCATGAGCCAATGTAATTGCTTCTTGTGTTTTCCTGCCCTCAACAAATGCACATTGTTCCTTTCCAACTAAATTTGGCAACACCAAAGCTAATCTATTTTCCATAATTTTAGTAACAATTTTATAAACCAGATTGTAAAGGGCTATAGGCTTGAAATCTCCCAACTTTGCAGCATCCCCCACCTTTGGAATCAGAGTAATAAATGAGCAACTTACCCCTCTTGACATATTTTTTGAATCAAAAAAGTGTTGCACAGCTGCCACCACCTCTTTGTCCTCCACAGCCCAAAAAGTCTGGTTGAACCTAGCAGGGAAACCATCAGGACCTGGAGCTTTATCAGGAGTAAAACTCATCACCACAGCCTTAACTTCTTCACATGTAACTAGCCCTTCTAACAAGTCCTTTTCTGTATTGTCCAGAGTGTACCTAGGGGATATTTCACACACAACCTCAGAAGCACTCCTTGTGAAGAATTTGGTGTAGTAGTCCACAAACCAGTCACTAATAACCTTTGGATCCACTGAAATCTCCCCTTCATCATTCTCCATTTTGGTAATGGCATTGAAATTTCTATGTTGTTTCAACTTTTGGTAAAAGTAAGCAGTACATCTGTCATTATCCCTTAGCCATTTTAACCTGAATTTCTGAGCCACCAATATTTCTTCATCAGCAATAGCTGCTTCATATTCCTCTCTGGCCTTTTGCTCGTCATCTAGAAGTACATCTTATGGATCCTTGAGAAGGCTATCTTGAACTGTTTCTAACCTCAGTGTAGTCTTCATAACCTTATCTCCCACATCTCCAAAGACATTTTTATTCCACTCCTTGACAGCCTTTTTAACATCCCTGAGCTTGCTCAACAGTCCGTGCATTGGAGATCCCTCTACCTCAATATCCCATGCTTGTTGAATCAAAGGTAAAACATCATTCTTAACACACCACAATTTTAGCATCTTAAAAGGTTTTGGCCCTGAAGCAAAATTCCTTGAAACCTGCACCAGAACTCCATAATGATCAGAGGCTTTTAATGATCTCCATAATACTTATAATTTTTTTTTCTCCAATAATTGATGTTCTAGCACAGAAGATGCACTGCTCCTCTTACAGTGCTTTTATTAGATTTTAGCATAGCTTGCTTCTGAAACGTCACTGCTCCAAAGTTGGTGAATTTTGATGTTAGATTACCATTCTTGAACACTTCAACTATTGATGTAACTAAATCATGTGTAAGTTGATGTGTTGAGATGGCTTTTTCATGGATTTTTTTTTTTTTTTGGAAAGTTTTGTTCCCTGGAGATCCACTAGGTATTTTTCTTTATTTAGTTCAGTTTTTAGTGAACTTTTTAATGAATGAGGAAGTCGTTTATATTGGATTGATTGGATATACTTGATCCTTACTGTGCGCCTCTTTCGCCCGAATGTGAATGATTAATGTTGTAGCAGTTACCTCGCTGATCTTAATGTAAAAATTTTGAACCTAGCAATAGTAACGTTTTTCCTTTTCAATATGGCTTCTCTTCGCAACTAATTTTCACCCTCTTCGCATGTGGGGATTTGAAATCTGTTAGATGTATGTGTGGAGTTACATTTCTCCTCCATTAATTGTGAATTGTGATGTCTATTTATTTCAAGTAATTGAATTGTGGTAGTATATTTATTAGCTTTGTTTCATGTGGCAAGTCTTGTCACTACCAGTCTTGTCTTTACTTGTCCCGATGTACTACTCCATCTCTCTCTATATATATATATGGCTGCATATATAAAATTTGTTCTGTTCTGCTTTATTGCTCAATTTCCAAATATTATAATGCAAGAAATTATAAAAAAAAATTAATGGTGAAGATTGATGGCGTTGAGAAAAAGATTAAGTTGCGTTGAGATAAAGATTGAAAGGCATTGAGGTAAAGATTAATGATGTTAAGAATATGATTAAAAAGCGTTGAGATAATGATTAATGGTGTTGAGAACAAGATTAAAATGCGTTGAAGTAAATATTAAAGGTGTTGAGAACAAGATTAAAAGGAGTGCTGAGAACAAGATTCAAAGGCTAAAAGCAGTGTTGAGAACAAATTGAAAATAAGATTAAATTTTGTTGAAGTAAAGATTAAAGGTGTTGAAAATAAGATTAAAATGTGTTGAAAATAAGATTAAAATGCGTTTAGGTTAAGCTTAAAAGTGTTAAAAATAAGATTAAAATATGTATCCAAATTGATTTAAGGTATTGAGGACAAGATTTCAATGTATTTTAAGGTGGATTCATCTTGAATAAGATTAAAAAGTTTATCCAATTGACTTGAGATGTTGAGAACAAAATTTATATATATTTGTAATTATTTTGATTAAAATATGTATCCAAATTGATTTAAGGTACTGAGGACAAGATTTAAAAGTAAATATTTTTTGTTGTATTTGTTACTACAGGCTTCAAGCATTGTGGGCATAGCTCCTAGACTTGTACAGATTATAGTATATGTCTATTACAAGCAAACAAATGATCCCAATCAAGCAGCCAGAGCTGGAGTAGGAGCTGGAGATGGCCATGAGTGAGGTGCAGGTGAAATATTTAACTTTTAAAAACCATTAAGAATGTATATGGCAAAATACCATCCAAGTCCACGTGATTTTTTTTTTTTTTTTTTTTTTTCAGGGCTTGTGCGAGGATCAAGAGTTTGATCAAAATATGTAGAATCCACAACCTTTCGACTTTATGTTTTTTTCTTGTTTTAGACACATTGTTGTGTGAAAAAAATGCTACTTGGGATGAACATGTATTGCATTTTAAAATAGGTTTTGTGGCCATCGTACAGCATATCAAGTCTCAACATGAAGTTGATGATTTTTTTATGGTCTTATGCACATTATATACTGTTGAGTCAAGCTCTAACTACCATCTGATTTTTTCATTTGTGTCATTAGCTTTTAGATTACCTTATATGCACATATCAGGTTTCCTTCTCAGAAGACAAACTCCAATTGCCTGGTCTTGCTTATTTATATTTGTATATTTCACTGCACGTCTATTTTTATTTGGATGTATAACATAGGCTTTTTTAGTGGTAAACCAAAAACACTTTTTTTTATTCATGCTTGATCCCTTCCCTCTGTTTGAGGAATAGAAGATTATACCATTGAACTAAAAACTCATTGAATAGCATAACATATGCTCATATGCATATATTAGTGGAGTTGCTATCTATTTTCAAAGTCAATGCCAATCTGAAAATAGTGCTAAAATTAACAAATTCAATGCAATTGTTATATAAAACAAACAAATAAATTGAGTACCGACTTAAATATTACGCTGATGAAAGTACTGATGAGATTGATGTTATTAACCTTTTATTTTTTATTTTTTGGGTAAGTATAAGTTGTGTAAATTTGATGTTAGTAACTTGAAGACCAACCTGCCCTTTTGGGCTTGTTTGCTGCCCTTTTGGGCTTGTTTTTGGCGTAAGGCCCACCTTGTATATCTTTCTCATTTATATCAGTTGCTTAAATTTTCAAAAAAAATTAAAAATTAAAAGAAAAACTTGAAGACCAACCTAAAGTGACTTTGATACTTGACAGCTCTTAACAAAGACATCACTGGAATGTAATAAAAACGGAGCACTATATCTATTTGTTTATTATTTAGACGGACAAATATGAGAGAAAAGAGAGAATTAAAATAAAACTGAATCAAAATCTAGAGCAAGTACTCTTATTTATAGATTGAATAGTTAAAATAATTCAAATTCAATCTGTTTAGTTGTCAAATATATAAAATAATTACTTTGAGAAATCTAGTAGTTATGAATTATAGCTATTAGAGAATAATGAAACTCCTATCTTGCGTATCTCAAATAATTGAGTAGAATACATGATCATCTGGAATGGGGTTAGGTGCCAAATGCCACCCATGGGCCACAACTAATTTCTAAATTTGAATTACCAATTATTCTATACTTTATTTACTTTATGCTATGTTTCCAAGCATTGATTTGGTATTTTGGATTTAAAATTGAAAAAAAAATAGTTAAAATTCTAACTAAATTTCTTTCGATCACAAATTTAAAGTACAGCTTCGAAACTCTTATGCAACATTAACAAAAAATTATGTAAATTTTTTATGTGGACTTATTTTTGAAGCCAACTTGTGGATATGATTAATATTTTTTATGTTAGGACTCTTTTGTTTGTTTGTTCTCTCTCTGTTTTTAATTTTTAATTCTATTAGTTATTTATTTATTTATTTTCACCAATCTAATGGTATATATAATCACATAATAATAAAAGTTAAAGCTCCAAAACTGGTTATTTTTCATTAATTTATTTGTTATTTTTATTGTGTTTGCATTCTCTTCCACTTTTTCTCATGGAATAGGCAAAATTGAACAACATTTGTTATTTTTCATTAAACAATAGCGTACGTTATTTTTTATTGCGGTTAAACAATCACATAGTGTTGCTCAATTTCAATGGGGATAAATTGAGCAACTATGGACCGCAACAATTGAGATATAATTATGTAACTTGTGTGTTTTTTAGTTCGTAAACTATATAATTATATATTTCTTCAGTAATTATATATATTTAACTTTATTGACTGGATAAGTGGATTTAATAATACAATCTATTTCGTGTTATGTATGAGAGAATTAATTCTGAAATATACATTCAAGATTTGGAAAAACAAAATGTTTCTTTTATTTAGTGGAAAAGGCAGAATAGTACCACTGTAGACAAAATAAAATGACCCAAAACTGAATTCTATTTTTGTGTTGTTCTCTACTTTGCATATTGGACTGGATCTCTAAATCTCCCACTTCTACATATTAGCCCATATTAATATATTTGCTTGAATATTCGGAAAAGAAAAAAAAAAAAATCATTCTAGATGAAGCATATAAAATGAGGATTCAAAATCATTAAATGTCAAGACAAGCTGACACATATAGTGGCCAATTGATATCCTCTTTAATTATTATAATTACAGCTCTCTAGCTGAAGTAAGATTAATGTTAAAATCTAGGGTTTTTTTTTTTTTCGAAATTTGAAGTAACTAATATATAAATATAAAGGGTTAATTACATGGTGTGGGTTTTTGACCAAGGCAGACCAAAAATTTGGAAAAAAACAAGGTTAAAATCTAAATTGCGGAAGCATAGAATTATAAAATTTAAATTGCACAAATGAAAAACGAGAAGGTACGGTCGAAGCTTAAGAGTGACACAAAAAAATTGCATGACTTAGGTAAAAATCCCCACGTCGCATATATATTTTTTAAGACATATATGAAGATTGAATTACATTAATGGTGCAAAATATCAAAATTGCATGACTTGGGTGAAAATTTCATGTCCGATTTTGAAAGAGGAAGTATATTACACAATTTAAACTCAATTTAAATTTAACAAAAGTAAGACCTATAAAAAAAACACCACCATCATTACTGTCAATACGAAATATGCTTTTCCTTAGTAAAAAATTATCTTAAAAGTGAGTGTAAAAATATAACTACTTACAATTAGTGCCATATACACCCACTTTCACCTGATCATAAATTTTTACATAAACAACATTCCAACAATGTGATAGAAATAAAAAAAAGGTGCCAAGTCAAAATGAAAAGCTTTGCAACAGTAATTTTTTTTAATTTTTATTCCCCACACACCCCCCCCCCCCCCAAAAAAAAAAAAAAATTACAAATTTACTTTCACTAAAAATTCTATATGTATAGGTCTATGCTTCTCAAAACTGGAGCCATTTTATAGTAAGAAAAAAAAAAATGGCAATTAATTAACAATGATAAATATAATCTAAATATATATAAACTACTGTATAAGCTTACAACCTGAGTCTTTCTATTCTAACCAAGGGTGATGGGACCCGCACCCCACCAGCCAAAACAACAAAATGAATTTTGTATCAACATTAATCATCTTGAAGTAGTTATATATTTTCCATTAAAAAAAATGTTGAATTGCCACACTAAATGCATTGTATCAATATATATATATATATATATATATATTTCAAGCACATTTTACCCTACCTTTGTTTACCAATAGGAATTTTTTCATTTTCCTCTCAAATCAGATTTCTCACAGCAGATGGAAGCATCTCCAATGCATCCAAAGGGTTAAAAATGTGCCACGAAAGGTTCTCTTGAAAACAAATTGATAAAGGTATCTTAAAAAATAAAAAAATTGTGATAATTATTGCAAAATTCAAAAGGTCAAAAGTGAAAACAAAAAGACAAAAACAACATTGTGTATTAGTTTTCAAATTCATTGATACAGTTTAGTGAAGCAGTGTAGTCTATTATAGTACAGTGAAGTAGTGTTGTGAAGCTACTAGAAAGCTCAAATTTATTATTGTGAATACCTTTATCAATTTGCAGTGTAGTCTATTATAGGAGTTTTTTTTTTGTGTGGTTGGCAAACCATTTGCCAAATCTCTTCTATCATTAAAATAACTATTTTACCCCCGGATTGAGATACCAATTTTTTCCTATCTTGTTATTTCATCCATTGTATTTTGTTACCTTGTTCCACCCAACAGTTTCGGTTCAGCTATTATTCTTTTGAAAACATAAATAATGTTTGATAAAATTATCTATTGCAAAAGTTATGTTAAAAAAAGAATTGTTTGTATGAAGAAAAAGAAATTCATATCACCTTGATGTTCCATGCATCTAACTAATCACCACAAGAGCATGAAGAAGGTACTTTTCAACCGAACTATTCTCATAAATAGAGTTTCATCCGTGACAAATATGAGTTGTGAGCACCCATAGACAAACCCAAACCAAATAAAATAAAAAATAATAATAAAAAAAATCTTTCGACTTGAACACTACAGAGAAACGAGCCCATAATCCAAACCAAAATCAGGGTTAAACAAGGCCAAAAAAATCCCATGCGTACTCAATAGTCCCATGTTCACAATCTGTAAAATTAAAAAATATAACTTTTTTTTTCTTAAATAAAAAAATATCAATGGAAATTATCTATATTCATGAGATACATTTTTCAATGGAATACATATATTTTTTCAACAGCAAGAAACAATAAATTTTATTTCAGAAAATAGTAAATACCAAGATTACATTTAGCATCAGCCCAGCTGGGAATTCATGTTCCACAATTACACTGGACGTTTACTACATACAAACAACCCATTAAACATAATGAAATTACATAAACAAAATTGTTTTTCAGTATTTAAGTGGTATAGTATAACAAAAGAGTAATTACAATAAAAACATGAGGCATTCCCCAAGGCCAGACAAGTAAAGATGGGCAAAAAATAAATTTTGAAACTGTGTCCACATTAGTGGCCCAAAAAGAGTACAATGCAATACAAAACTAAAAAACTGGTACATCAAAACCTTATGCATACACGTGAGTGGGATAGTAAACAAGATGACAGTTTCAGTTCACTGGGTTGGGTGGGTGTGGTGAGGGTGGTGACAGCCGGTTTTGGTGGTGGTTTGAGGAGAAGGTACATTCTGCATTTGTGCTTCAAAAAATATCACATGTTTTATCTCATCACATATTCTAACCCTCTTTGTTCTTGTGTGCTCTATTTGCCCTCACTTCTTGTTTTACAGCAAGATCAACAAAAATCTCGTACATCCTTGAGTCCCATATAGATTTCGTTTCACTTTTGTCTCCTCGATTGTCATCTAATTTACAACAGAACATGATCAACTATTAAGTAATAGGAATACCAGTAAATGCAATAGAACAGCCTAAGAAATTTATATTAGTGTAGAAAAGGTTGAGACTAAATATATAAAGGAAAATGGTTTAGTCTAATTGAAATTACCAAGCATTTCAAACCCTTAAACAACCATTTAACACAAACAACACCATTTCACCATCATAAGAGATTTTCCAATCAAACAGAAACTGTTGGAATTTGAAACTTGAAACCCATCCACCCATACAATAAAGAGTGATTAAGAACAAAATTGAAGCATAAAGCAATACCATCATTTTCATAAAATCTTGGTACTGCTTCTATAAGTTTTATACCGGTACGTACTACTGCCAAGTGCCAAAACTACTTATTTATAACCCATAATTGTACGTAATGAACTTGAATTCAGTCTCGTGAGCCCCTTAATCGCTATAATTATGCACATCGAGGCTCTTGAATATTTTCAACCCTCTTTGGGCATATGGCGGTAAATGCTACAAACTTTTCTGAATTTAGAATGCAAAAATGGGGACAGATCATTGACCATCAAATATCCTCTATGTTTTGTACTCAAACTAGTCCAACTGCATTTCTTATGAAACCATAATGATTGGCTATATATTAAAAATTTATGACTTAAAAGAGCCACCAACATGTACCAAACTTTTTGTAAAAAGAGATTAGCCTATTACTTTTCTCCAAACGTACCATGAAATGAAGTAAACTTATGAGATAAAAATGACAAAGAAATGAAGAACTGTTGAAATAAACATATATTGCAATAGGAGGTGCCTACAATGGAAGTATGTGAACTTAAAGTCGCCCCCACAAGAGCCCTCAATAAAGCATACTCACAACCAGTAAACTTAATTAATTTTTAAGAAACATGTCCCAATTGGGTTGGTATCTCAATTAAACCAAAAATTAAGATAATGATATACAATGGAATGAATTTTGCAAATTTCCCAAAATTAAGTCTTCCGAAAATGAAAAATAAAAAGGGAAGAAAACAAATCACCTCCAATATGGATGGTCATTGGTTTCAGTGGAGGTCGCCGCCGGTGTTGTCTGAGAAAAGATAAGAAACTAAGAAAAAATTCATTATATAGATAAATGAGAAATTAGGGCTGATAATGCAACATAAATGAATATATATTTATATCTATATATATACACATACTTAGTTTTATTCTGGGTGGGATTGAAGATGAAAGGAGGAACGTAGCTAACCTGAGATAGAAATTGCAGAGACGATCTTCCGCAGAGCATTAGGTTGTCGTACTAGGGTTTAGGAAGAATCAGAATGAGGATCTTATAGGGGCACGGTCAGAATTTTATTTTTTTACTCACTAAGAAAAGGGGCACGGTTGTCATTTAAAAATATTCATTAAAACTTACTTTTAGCTTCCGTGTCTTCGAGAAGATCATTTTGGAAAAGTTAGGGTACCAGCTTTTTTCTAAACGCTTTTTTAAAATTCAAAAACTCTTTAAAAAAATTAGTCAAACACCATTTTAAATAGCTTTTGAGTTCCAAAAGTCAAAATCGACGTTTGAAAAACTAATCCAAACTAGCCCTTAGTTGGTTACGCAATCTCTCACTCTCACACACATGCACAAGGTTGTTATTACGGTCTAGAAAGAACCCACATTGAACCACACACACAACATGCATATTCAACCATCGTGTCTCTTTCTTTTGTAACTTTTCTCTCTCTCTTCCTGAAGATGAAGGCCTTCGAAATTGTAGGAATTACAGTTGTTGATCTCTATCATCTCTGTGTGTGTGTATATATATATAATCATTTCAGTACAAATCTAAATAGCATCTGTGTATGTGTGTGTATATATATATATAATGTTACTAATTTCTTTACTCTGATTTCTTTACTGTTACTATGATTTCTATATATATGTACTTCAATAATGTAATATATATATATATATATATATATATATATATAACTTTAATTTCTATATATATGTACTTCAATGTGTGTAATATATGTTCTTTGTTTTTTACTGTGATTTCTTACTTTGTTATCTCTTCTCAAAGCTACTAGGTGTTGTGTGTGTATAATATATGGTGAATCCATGTATGTTTTAGTATTTTAATGTCATTTATTATGATGATTGATACATTCATTCTGATGATTGATACCGAAACGCCTCGCGGAAGAGACTCTGTTCTGCACACTATTTTTTGAAACCAGATATGTTTTCAAATGAATGAGACATCATATATATATATATTCACATTGTAAACTTGGAATAACTGCAAATGTAATAAGTATGAAATGTATATAGTTATATATATTCACATTGTAAACTTGGAATAACTACAAATTCAATGCAATAAGTATGAAGTTGTATATATTTATTTATATTGTTCTAAAAGTGTAAGAAATTTCTTTAACATCTTTAAAATTTTCTAAAATACAAAATAATCTTCATTAAATACTTTACATTAAATGTTTTGAAAACCTTTTATTTTTATAAACATTTTATACTACTAGCAAAATTCGCGTACGATGCACGTGCTAAATTATAACGACCCACTCCACCACATGGTATGATATTGTCCGTTTTGAGCCTGAACCCGCACAGTTTTGCTCTTAGGCTTTACCCTAAAAGGCCTCATACCAATTGGAGATGACACACTTACATATAAGCACTTCACCTTTCCTCTACCCAGGCGATGTGGGACTGTGCACCCATAACTCGCCAGTGTGGTAACTTGACAATGTCTTTTGCACCAGCCCACGGCACACCTGCCTACAAGGTAATCACAATCCACCCCCCTTGGAGGCCCGACGTCCTTGTTGGCACACTTTCGGCTGAGTCAGACTCTGATACCATTTGTAACGACCCGCTCCACCATATGATATTATATAATAATCATAATATATAATACTTACTGAAACGTTATTTGCAGGGTCACAATAATTTCAATCTTCAGTGATCAAGCCACCAAGCAATTCAAGCCGTACTTATATCTGACGACTGCAATGAATTATACATATTGGCTGTTGTACGCCAGTAATTGGGTATATTCTGTGTTGCTTAATGAGTTCGATTGGTTTATCCTGATATATACATTGGATTCTATTTTGTATTAGTTTTTGATCGTTCACCCTAAACAGTGCTTGATCACCATGAATAGGGTGATTGATCATACAAACCAATATGTAGTTTTGTAACGTTGGTTTTGACCTATTTCGAGTCCAAATCTCGAAATTACTATTAGATACAAAAACGATGGTCTTCGAGTCTTCTTTCCAGAACTGTTGAGATTTCCCAATTTGGAATTTCAAGTAAAAAGTTATACCCAAAATAAGCAAGTCCAGAATCCTTCAAGATAACTAATCCTTCAAGTTATACTCATTAATTTTTGACAAGTTATTTTATAATTTTTGTTGGACTCGATCTCAACCTCAACCTCAACTGTTACAAAACACCAAAATATAAAAATAAAAGAAAATATTTTACCTAAAAAAGAAAAATATTTTCCGAAAAACATATTTTATATCGAAACAAACGGAACCCTAGTGTATATTATTTGCATTGTGTTAATATATATTGAAAATTAAGTAAATTAAGTATATGCATTGTGTCTCAGGACAGTTAACATTTTATAAATAATATTGAAAATTAAGTATATGCAGTCCTTCCCTCCATTAAATAAAACCACACCAGGTATATAATGGAACTGGAACCGAAACCAAAATAGATATATAATTTGGTAAATTAAATAAGCAGATTGGATTTCCCTGTCTGATATTTCATGGATGGAGACTTAGGCAACAATTTTTAATTTGGTTTTGGTGTGTGCTCTTGGAATTGCTATAAGTTCATGTACCATAAAATAACATTTTAGCCTGTAAAAATATGCCTAATTTTTTGGCAAAAAAAGTGAAATATGAATTTCCCTTTTACCTAATTTTTTGGCATCCCTCCCAATAATAGTAACTTTTCCTTACTCGTTCTTGTTAATTCACCACGTGTGAAAAAGGTAGACAAGAAGATTGATGGAAATCCCTTGGTGTGGAGTGAGACACAACCTTCTAGGCTACCATCCAATATGATGATCATGTGGTATATAACTAACTAATTGCCTTTAGGAAAGGATCGTTACTCATATCATACCATATGTCTAACTTTGTCTTCTGTACTTTCTAAAACAATATCAAGTGCATGATGGCTCGTTTGCCTAATTTTTTGGCAAAGAGAGTGAAATATGAACTTTCCTTTTGCCTAATTTTTTGGCATCCCTCCCAATAATAGTAACTTTTGCTTACTCATTCTTGTTAATTCACCATCACACGTGTACATTCACGTAAAATCAACAAAGATGGAGCAGTGAGGCTTCTGTCCAATAAAACCAATTTCCAAAGAACTCTACCAACAAAGTTAATGAATGAGTAATGTCTCCAATGAACAAATTTGAAAGAGGAGAACAATTTGCACAATATCAAAAGAATAGACTTTAGCAAAAATTTTAGGTTAGAAACTTGTTGGCATTTTCAATTTAACCCTGATTAAGAAGTTGCTTGGCTCAACAGGATTATTTTTGAGGTTTGCACATGAATTGCACGTGTTATTATTCTAATTTCATTAAAACTATATAAAATAGTGAAGGATAATTTAGACTTTTTAAACATTTTTGGGGGCTATTTGGATCCAATTTTTTATTAGGGTATTATTGTTCAAAAGTGGTTAAATTGTATTTGCTTATAATAAATCCAAACTTAAAGGGTTGTCACTATAAATTACCCTAACATTTATTTATATAAATTTGAACTATAATTATGAAATTATTATTAAAATATTTTTTTTATTTAGTCACCATTAAACTTATTATTTGTACCAAAAAAATCATTTTTTGTCATAATATATTTTTTTATATGTAACGCAAAAGAAATCACAAATTTACTCTAGAATATTTGTGCTAATTAATTTATTTTTTCCCACAAAATTTAGCATTGGTCTCAAAAAGTCATTTTTAATAGCCAATTTACTCTAATGACAAAAGTCTTTTTGCTATAAATTTTAGTATTTGTACCCGTTAATTTAGTTTTTAATACAAATTTTTTTTTTTTTTTTTTTTTTTTTTTTTATTATTTTTTATGCCCATTAAATTAGCTTTCTTTACAAAATTTAATTTTTGGGTCAAAAAATAATTTTTATGAATTTCATATGGTCCCCACACTTTACACGTTTCGGCATTTTACCCATTGTTGCGCACAAATAACACCCAATGCCCATGGGCTCATCACCTCAATGGTCGAGCGTGTTCGAATTGACGGTCTATAAAACCACCACACTAACACAGCAAGCAAAATGCATGTTCATTGATTTTTCTATCTTTTCTCTCACTTATCTCTCTGAGAATATGAAAAAGTACAAATTTGCAGGCATTGCAGGTTTATATGTGTTGTATAGGTGCGTTTATTTTGAATTAATTCATAATTTGTTATGATATAATCAATTTACTTTAGTAGTATTTTCAACGTTGATTCAATCCATTGATGGCATTTCAGTTATCTGTGTTAGTGTGTGTTATATATGTGTATATATATAATATATACACATATAATGAAATCGAGTCATTCTTAGCGATGATATGTGTTTAAAGTTTTGTGAATAGATTCTCCATTTGGCTATAAGTTGTATCACTATTAGCAATGTCAATTTACTGATGGATTGAAGTCATTTCTGTCATATTCTCTGTTAATCTGTTTATATGTGTATTACACTCCGTCTCTTCTTTGGTTCAAACCTCCCTTATGATTCTAATGGCTAACCAATTCACTGGAAATCTAATGGTCGATACTTTCCCTCTACGGTAGTCTCAGCTGCTCCATCTGCTGTTCCATTGACTCTTGCTTTTAAAGCCTTAAGTCTGAGGCGAAAAAAGAAAGATTTTACTGATATCTACGATCACGGAATAGGATCGTTTACCTATTCATCGCGGGGTTGCTTTATAATTCATTGTTAAATGATTTTGCCAAGGTTGTCTATAGTCCTTTGATGAAGCGGGAATCTTAGCCACTCTCTTATGGATACGTTTCCTTTAGGGCGTCCATTTTCAGTTATGAAATAGAAAGATCAGAGAATCAATTTCGTGCCAATTCTTAGATATTCTATTTTCGAAGTTTGAAATGAAATCCTTTAGTCACTGTAGCTTGCGAGTTATTCTTATATGTATAATGTTTATGAGTCTTAGTCCATTTCAGTGAGTTCTCTATTTATTTGTGAATTAGTTCATTTCATGTACGTTTGATTGAACTATTTACTAATTATAGATATTATTGATGGATCTGTGATGTTATTCTTTCTCTCAT